CCCAGGCCCCCTGCATTGGGAGAACCGAGTCTTAACCACTGGACCACCAGGGAAGTCCCCTCTCACATTTTAAAATAATCAAAAATAATTTCACCCTAAAGACTAATGCTTTCTGCTACCACAAATCTCCGTGAATTCAAAGGGAGAAGTTCACGTAATGCAAGCTCTTCCTCCTTCCCTCAAGATCCAACTGAAAGGGGAAGCGATAGGGTAGGCTAGAAAAGATGGCGGAGACTAACTCAACGGAAAGAGTTTTCTGGAAAGAGAAGCCTACAGTTGAGCCTGGTGTCCCTTGAGTGAACAGTAGGAATCAAAAACCATACTTGTAGGACTCCAGAACTACTAAGCTGAAAGGACCTTAGAGCTTGTTGATGGGATAAATTTGACAGATGAAGCAACGATACAGAGATGAAGAGACTCGCCAGAAGAAGGATCCAAGTTTCCTGATTTCAGGTTGCTGCCACTGTCCACCCGTTTGTGCAGGTTCTAGTCCCACGTCTGGTAGAGAAAGCAGTGAGAACCCCATGAGAAACGGTGTTCTCCAGGCTTGTGGTTGCCAAAGGGGAGTGGGGATGGCGGAGGGAAGGATTGGGAGTATGGGGTTAGCAGATGCAAACTATTATATACAGGATGGATAAACAACAAGGTCCTACTGTATAGCACAACTATATTCAATATCCTGTGATAAACCATAATGGAAAAGAATATGAAAAAGAATATATATATGCATAACTGAGTCACTTTGCTATACAGAAGAAATTAACACAACATTGTAAATCAACTATACTTCAATAAAATTAAAAAAAAAAAAAGAAACAATGTTCTCTTGCTGTATAGATGGCTATCCCACAAGCAGGTTTTGATAAGGGGATTCTTTTAGGAAAGAAGGTGCTAAAGAATTCAAAGGGTAATTCTCTTGACAATATCATCAGTCTATAACTTCATCTATTTAATGCTGATCTGACTCTTAATTCTCAGAGAATCTGCCTTGGTCAAAAAGTTTAGAAACTTTTTCCAAAAAGAAAGACTTAAGAAGCTTTTTGAATTAAATTGAATTAAAAAAGATAGTCTATTTGTGGGTTTTGAATTAAAAAAGATAGTCTATTTGTGGGTTAGTAAGGCATTTAAGAGAGAAAATCATTACTAGGTATTTTACAGCTGTTACATAAGATGTGGCATTTTTTAATTCAGTGGTAGCTTGTCTTCTGATTTATTCATTCAACAAACATGTTTTGAGCAACTAATATATGCATTTTGGGATCACATGCGTATTTGGGAATGAAAGACAAAGACTGATTGAGTGTGTCTGTGCATATATCCATAAGGCAAGGGAGTGTGTGTGTGATAAAGTGGAGAGAAGAGAGGAAGGAGGGCTAAGGAGAAGAAGACAAACAGCAAGGAGGATCTGGGCGTGGGAGAGTCAGTGTGACTTGGGGAGTGAGGGGGATGCATAGGTAGATGGGGCCGGAGCGTGGAAGACTCTGAAAATGTCCGACTCAGGGATTCAACTTGCTTAGGTGGGCAATAGAGAGGTGCTCTTGATTTCTGGGCAAGGAATGACAAAATTCTGGGGATGTGTGCAGGAGAAAGGAGACACTAAAGGCAGTAACGGTAATTAGGAAATAATCACCATAGCCTAGCTAATGAACCATTTCTAGAACGAGGATGGTGGCAGTGGGAAGGGAAACCAAAGAGTGGATGTGATAGCTATGTGATCTTTCAGTCTGTCTAACTGACAGAGAAGTGAAGTAACCTCCCTCCATCACTTAGTGCCACTCTAAACCCAGTAAGCATTGCCCGTTGTCATTTGAGAATACAAAGCACTCAAAAAGGTATAATTTAACACAACTTAAAATTGATACCAAAGCAACAGACCGTATCATGAGCAGCCTTTGATTCACTTACCCTGTGTCTTAAAGACCCAGGGTCTTTAACGCTCACTCTGGCTAAGGAAGGGGGTCCTTAGGCCTTGCATAACTCTGTATCCTTGTCAAAAGTGTACCTTTCCATCAGAAGAGAAAAAAGTGACAACTGTGTCCTCACCTATCCTCACTAGGAACTACCTACTGGGAAAACTGCTCACACAAGAGGAGGAAAAAGGTCAAATTAGAAAGTTATCACTTGTAACTTTTCATGCTGCATTCATGTGGAAAAACGTGTGCTTTGCCAAGCCCATTCCTACCTAGTTTCTCATTTTCCCTAAAGCAGTCATGAAGGCACTAAGGGTGAGAATTACCGGCCCCATTTTATAAAAGACAAGGTTTGACGCCTGCCCACGGGCACATGAGAGTTACAAGGACCAGAGTCTCCCAACTCCCAACGCAGGGCTCTCACCACCACACCTTGCAACCCGATCACTATGTGGCCTCAGTTAAAGGCAAGCCGTCTGAACCCTACAAGATTTAGAATAGACGCTGGTTGGATAAGATGTGAGTGCTGTGAAAAGCCAGGCAGGGGAGTAGATAAAGGCTGCCCAGAAAATGTCCTCCACTGAATGAAACACAATCCAGCCCAGCTGGGAATTCCATTGCTGCCGTGGGTTTTGGAATTGTTTATTTCTATTCATTGGCTCCAATCTCTCATTCCTGTCCTTGTCTCTTCTTGTCTACCTCCTTTTCTCTCTCTCTCTCATTTCTCCTAGCAGCCAGTGCCCCTCTCTGCACATACACACGCTTCGGCATCTAATACCACTCTCTAAAAATACATCCCACAAGCTTAGTCTCCTGCAAGGTGGCACAACTTAAAATTGATACCAAAGGAACAGACCGTATCATGATCGGCCTTTGATTCATTTACCCTGTGTCTTAAAGACCCAGAAATAAAATAAACAGTTCACAGGGGAAAAAAGTTAATGCAAAATGAGAGACTCTTTCAAGTGGCATTTTCCAGCCCAGTTTTTGCGGTGGGCTTATGTAATCAGACATAATGATCTGCACATGTTTGGTTACACTATTTCAGAAATGATTCCCAGCCCACCAGATGACGTCAGAGGGGCCAACGTTGACCCCCCAGAGTCTGAGTGCCGCTCTCTCCTGTGCTACCCAATTAGGAAAGAAAGATACCAAATAGCAGAACTGTCAGCCCCACTTCCTGCCCAGTCATGTAGACTTTCTGCAGTTCTCTTTCTGAGTGCGTCCATAGTCTCCTCCCCACACTCTTATACTTTCCTCATGTTCCTCTCTTCCACTTACATACAGAGCAAAACTTTTTCTGGAAAGACCGATCTTCTAGCTCAAAAAGATCCAGGAAATGGATAAATGCCTATGCGCTTGAACCTCCCCATACAAACACAGAACAACTTAATTCATTTGGAATCCATGTTTGAGAACATAATTCTCCACCATGGTATCTTGGATTTTTTCTAAGCAGGCGTCTGACAAGTCAGCCATGAATACAGGAATAATAATTAGTATAAGCACAAGAAGGGAAAAATCCCTCTGCTCTGGAAACCCTTTCTTAAAAAGGGACACAGGTGCCCAGAGTATGTTTAACAGGGTCAGCTCTAACCTCCCTCCTTCCATCCCAGAGAGGAACTTGATAAATATTATATAAACTCAGAGGAGATTCTGCCTAAGGAAGGTAGAAAATAAAGAATTCCTAATTGGAAGGGGCCTTAAAAGTCACCAAGACAGTCATCACCTGGTACTTAACTCCCTTCCACAACATCCTTACCAAGTAGTTAGCCAAACAATGTCTGAACGCGCCAATGATGGGGAATTCTTGGCTTCCAGAGGCAAAAGATCCCTTCTTTGGACAACTCTGACTGCATCTTAGAAAGGCCCTTGAGATGTTGAAGTGAAATCTGTTTCCCTGAATCTTCTACTCAGTGATCTATCCTACCTCCCTTTACATCATTCACGATGAATCCAATCTCTCTCACTGATGACAGCGTGTCTCAAACTATTACTTACCAGCCAAACCTTCTCTTTAATGGGCTAAGAATTCCTAATTTTTTCAACCGTTCCTCATCTGATGAAACATCTGGTATCCTCTTGCTTCCTTCCAGTCTGGCCATTGTCATATATGATTTCACCAATGCAGAGTTAAAAAGCTATCACCTTTTTCATTGCAGATACCATTCCTCAATTAGTATAGGCTAGAATTACATCAACACACTATGCCTACCTTTCCTTCCCTCCATCCCCAATTTACTTTAATCCTAACAACAGAAACAACAACAAAAAATCCTCACCATCATCCAATCATAGTTTTCTTAGACAGTTCTGAGCCAATAGTTCTACTGGAGCATCTTATGACCTCTAAAAGCCCAGGAAATCACCTCTGATCTAAAGAACAGCTTCCTTTTCCAGGCTGCCCCCTTGTCCCAGCTTGCTGTCACCGCTGCTGAGATAGCGGACGATTGATCTGAGAAATCAAGTTGGATTGCTGTCCCAAATCTACACTCGATTCTCCTTGTGTCTGTCTGATCGATTTCACTCTGTGCGACATAGCTTGTCGCTATGAATTTTCATGCTAGTCAGGAGCCGCCAGCGCACCCAAGAACAAGTAGAAGATGGTCTGCACCCCTCCCCATCCCTTCAGCATACCCAGCCTCTGTGTTAATTTTTTTTAATCGTCCTTAGATGGGAGAAAGGTTTTTTTTTTTAAGACCACAGACCTGGATGCAATGGATTTCGGCTACTGGTTTTTCTCCTCAGGTTCCCAGGCCCCCGCTTGTGGGGACGTTTCCTACCACTGTTGTACTAGGTGTCACCTGTTTTGCAGCCCCTCTCAGCTGAACGCATGTGGCCGCAGGTGCCATGCAAACACTGATTGTGTGTGACAGCCCTAGACGCCAGCTGCCTGCATGAAGCCTGCCCAATCGCCACTTTTTTTGAGGGTAGAATGCTGCCGACGGCATGACCGATACAGAAACAAGAAATAGGTGACCGTAAAGCTAAGAAGTCCTACTAAGTGGCGTTCTGAGCCCTATGGCTTTGAACTAATTGATAGTGATAGAATAAAAACAAAGGGTGGCGGGGGGAGCCTTGTTTTCTTACACTGATGCCCTGCGGACTGTACATCTGACTGGCTGCGAGTCCGTCACTGTATCCTCCTGTCTGGCTGATAACATGGCGAAGGGTATCCACCTAAACAGATGAACAACAACAGAGAGGAAATTAGTCAGGGAGATGCAGGGAAAGGGAGGCACATCATCATCACACAGGCTACCATTTGGGCTCGCCAAATTAATGCGATCACTGGAGACATTCTTCCTGGGAAAGGAACCATTAGGAGGAGGCTGGGCCTCCTCTCTATGCCGAATCCACTACCCTTTCTGATTTCAGTAAGGAAGACAGAAAAATGGTCAAAGAAAGCTGGGATTCCCAACACTGAAACTAATTCAACAATGCTGCATGAGACGGCAGGGACTGGGTGATAGAGGGGCTGAGAGTGGGGAGAGTGAAGGGATTTTCCCTGCCCTCCGGATCATCCTATCTAACTTCTGTGCTGGGGATCCTACAAAAGTCAAGGCTCTGTGTAGAGGGGCTTGGTCAGGCCCCTCACAGAGAGAGCAGTGTGCGACTAATGCTGTCTTTCTGAGGACTTAAATGATGGCCAGCTGTTTAGTCATCTGACCGAAGTCTGACTATATCTCCTCGAACTTGTTTCCAGGCAATGTTTCCTGAGCAGGGCGCTGAATCACCGGCCAGGTGGTCTCTTCCAGGCATGTAATGCTTCCTGCTCCTCTGGCAGGGTGGGAGCCTGGATGCGCTTGGCTCAGAACTTCCCTAGCGATCCTGACCCGGAGCACAGGACCTCACCCTGTCACATCAGGCTGCGTGCTGACACAGGAGGATGGCTTCTGAGCTCTCGTGAAGGCGAGCTGCCGACTAGGGAGCGCTGAGGGTTTACAACCACACGCTTGATTTTTGTTTCCCAGCATGGACTTATAGACTCATCACCAGAAACCCAAATCCCTTGACCTCAAGGATGACTAAGAAGATGAGTTTAGTCAACCTGGCTGGGTGTTTTCAAAGGTTAAAATGAAAACGTGAGATCCTAAGGTATGTGCCTAGTCATTCATGACCTCTATATTGGGCAGATGTTGAGTGTGGAAAAGCAACAAACAAGAGAGGGACCTGAAAAGTGAACTGATGGACTCAACTCCTCCTCCCTTTCCCTTTCATGAGCAAAGAATACACTGGGTCCACTTGCCTGACGGGCCTTAGTCACCTCACCCCGTGCTTGCCGCTCTCCTGCCCTCCTAGGGTGACTGACAAGCCAGAGCCAGACGCATTCACAAAGTGTGGACGAGATTCCCCACGACAATGGTTGTCTTTGATTCGGTTTGGTTGTTGGTAAGGTTTTGTCTCTACATCTCTCTCTGTCTGTCCGTCTCTCTCTCTCTGGACAGAAACAGGAGGTGCCAATCCGACTGAGGGCTCTTGGACGCTAAAGCATTCACCTGGCGGCACATTGGCTGGGTCCCTACCTGTGATTGCACGTTGGCTCCAACCTGGGCCCCTTGGTAAGAATCCCCATTGAGTGACTGCACGCTCATGAACAAATCTCCAGAGTTTGACATGTTAAAAGAACTGGAAGAACCTGGAAAGGAAAGAGTGAGGCACCTGAATCACAGAAAGGAAAAGGCTTAACCCCCGCAACTAACAGCCAAGAGGAAGAATGACATGCAAAGCAACCCCCCCCCCAAATAAAAACTAAAATCAAAACAACATCAACAGAGTCTGGTTAGTAGCATGAAGAACAGAGCAAGCAATAAAGGGTGCATATCATTGATGTTATGCGGAGCCCACATCTCACTGCAAGTTGCCCATAGGTCTGCTTCCCCTTAGCAGCTTCAAGCTGAGACAGGAAACATGTATTCTTCTCAACTTGCTCTGTTTGAGTTGAAGACAGTCTCCAGACCCAGGGTCTCTCTCTCTCTTGTCTCTAAAATTCTAAGATTGGCTGGGGGACTGTGGGCTGGAGACTACAGGCTGGTCAGTGGTACTTCTGCCACCACGATGGAGCACGTGAGCTATCAGCTGGATTCTAAATAAACTAATGCTACACCCATCTACTCTCACATGGGTAGCAGCACCTGGGAGGGGAGGGCATGAAGGTAATGCTGCACAGTAGGGCTGGCCCTGTGATATGAGTCACCAACATTCCTGATTTCTAGAAAGAAGGTGATGTTCCCTGCTGGGTGGCAAACAGTCCAAGAGAATCATGAGGACTGCAAAAATAAGTGAGAATCATATGCTCTTCTCTGCCACCTGCCATTTTGGAGGAAGATGAGACAGAAAATGAACCAGGAATTCTCAAGCATGCATGAAATATGAAATGATAGTAATAATAATAATAATAAAGTGAGTCTTCAGAAGAGCAGTTAACTATCTGCTTTCACCTCCTAGAGTTGAAACTTTCTCCCAGACTTAGCCTGTAGGCACCACCCGGGTTCCACTGGTTCTACTGTGGTAAACCTAGTCCCCCCCTCAACCTAAACACAAGGCCGTGGAAGAGCTTAATATTATTCTGAAGCCATCGTGCAGCTCAGTGCATTAGGAAAGAAAACTCAACGTGCAAGGTTTGGTTAAAACATGACGTTAGCCTGGAAAAGGAGAGACCTCAGGGACCCAGGTCAGTTCCACTCTATTGTTTCCGTCCCTATATTGCTCAAATTGCACTCCTGCCCTTGAATTCTGAGACAGCCATCATCCGTGTGGAATCGCCCAACAATGATTCATGCCCCAGCTCTGACTCTCTTTTATCCCAAAATAGGGATTTGTGCCATCCTAGAGAGCCGTCTCGCCTCACATGAAGAGCTGCAGCTAAGCTGAACAGAAGGTTTTTTTGTTCCATGGCAGGACCACTTAACTAGCAATGACTTCTAAACTCTGCCACTCTCCTCAACTATTCATGGTATCCTCATCCTTCAAAGGCAAGAGCCATTTAGAGGAACCAAATGATTTACTTGAAGACAATTGACTTGGGGACAACCTCAAGTTAAGGAACATCTCCATCCTGCTTTGTTCTTTGGGGTGTCCATCCATATGCAAGGAGCCAGCTGAGTATTTTGCTACACAGACGGATCCTCCACTCTTAACTCCCTTCTCATGGGAAAAAGGGACTGCTTTCTTTGGGGGGCGGGGGACAACTCAAGCACCATCCAAAGAACTATGACATCCTGATTAACTCTGAAACATGTCCTATGTATGTCATCTGGCACACGTTTCTCGGTTTAGCTTATCTGAAAGGAATTAGAAAAGTTGGATCTTAGGCAAAATAGGTACAAGATTTGACCAGGTGTGGCTTACACCCAATCAGTGGGCAGAGGCTTTGGCCTGGACCCTCCTTCCATTAATGTGCTGCAAATCTTTCAAACAGTCCCCCCCACAACGTGTGGGTGAAGCAGTGGGTAGCACAGATCACATTCGTATGTTAAGATATACAAGACCCAGGCATCTATGTCCTAGTTACATCCCTCTCAAATCTTTCTTTCAACCACAGCGATATAACCTAAATATTAAAAGCCATTTTATAATAAGTATTACAACACATGCTCACAGGTAGATGTCATCAGAACCAAGAACCAGCAGCTCTAAGAAGCCAAATTATAATTGTTTATATGATATCAGAATTTTTTTTTCCCCCGAGAGTATTCAGTTTGAAGCCCAGGTATCTTATTTCTCTCCCAACCAAATACCATGTAATAAACATACACTCTACATGCTTGGTTGATGGTTTACTGGAAATTAGCACACAGACTGAGAAATGGGAGAAACTTCCAGAGGGCTACACTGATGCCAAGGAACATGGCACCCATGGAACCATGAAGCCATGGAACGTGCCACTTACAAGATACACACTGCAATTGACACAGATGATTTAAAAAATATATGTGCCTAGATAAATTGTAAATATGTCTGGCTGCCTAATGTACATAGAGATAAATATGCACATATCAATGTACTTTGTGTACAAATGCATTTGAATCAGAGCAGTAATTGCAGAAGGAGTCCCTGTGCTTTTGGCCATGCTGTTTCAGCATTTCATTGTCTCTGCACACCCACGTACAACACCGCCATGGCTTCTGCTTCTCTGATAAGTAACTAGAGGCAGTGATTTCGCTGAGGAAAGAGACCAGGTGTCACGAATACCGCAATAAGGCAGACACGTCCACACAAACATCTAAGTAATGAGGGGGAGACTCATTCTTCGTCTGGCACTGGAAGTTGGAAAGAACTTATCCTGGATTGGATAACCTCCTGGGAAGGATGTGATTCACAGACAAATAGCATGTGGGCTCTCTCGGAGGTGCTGTGGAATTCTCAAAGAACTAAAACAGAATTACCTGGTTTGCTGAGAAGGTCAGTCTGGAACCTTACCTGCAGGTGGCTATAAAGTGATGGCAATGACTAGAAGCACATTTTAAGACGTGCTTGCCAGTTAAAAGGTTCTGAATTTGGCTTGGAAAGGGAGGCAAGTAGCTCGTTTAAGCCGTAATCCAGACAGCTGGGGCACGTACAAAGCTAAACTTGCACTCAACTAGACAGAGAAGTGATAGATCACCTACAGATTCTGATGCATTTGCTCATGCAAACACGATGTAGAGATGTGTTAACAGCCATTTTCATAAAAGACAATTCCTGAACACTCTGTTTCTACTCTAAAGAGTCTCCAAGAGAATTACATTTGCTCAGGGGGAAAAAAAAAACACCCAAACTCAGTTAACTTCAAAATCCAAAACATAGAATACTAATGATAATATCTCAATCTGGAGCGGGGTTTCTTGACCTTGGCACTATTCACATTTTGGGCCAGATAATTCTTTGTTATGGAGGAATATCTTACGTATTGTAGGATGGTCAAACACATCCCTGGTCTCCATCTCATAGATGCCAGGAACATCCATCCCCCTACAACTGTGACAGCCAAAAATGGCAACTTTACTGACATTGAGAACCCACGACCTAGAACAAGAATGAATTTACTTTTTCTTCCTAAGGAACTTGAGGTGTTTTAAAAGTATTAGCTCATTATAACTCACACCATTTTTAGCAAGCAGATGGATGGCAAGTATTACCTTAATTTCTGCAATCTAGAAGTCTAGGTAGGCTTCACACAGATTAGGTGGCCAGTTTGATCATACTGGACTCTATTGGCCTCCTATACCATTTGGAGGCTCAAAGATAGAGTCTCTTTGCTGGATGTAAGCTTAATTATATTATGCTCACTTCTCTGTTTTTCAAGACTTTTCTCTCCAAATTAAAATAAAACCATTATTACTTTCTACTCAGGGCAAAGTACAAGAGGGAAAGGTTATCTGGGTCAATGGGAAACCAGATAACCTTCAGCAGGTGTGCATGTCCAGGTTCTAGAGTTCCAATTCCAGGAGGCCGTGTTTTCATTTTCCACAAGGGAAGAAACATAGGAAGAACGAACACAGCAGAAAACATCAAGGGGATAAATTCTTTCACTGGTTTTAAAAAACAAAACCATGAGTGTTCCGATGGCTTTACTAGAAGTGTCAGTCAACTTCTCTGGATGTGTTACCTCCTCTCTAACCATGTGTACTATACATAAACTTGTCTTAGGAAGCCAGTGTCCAGGGCCTCAATATGATAACCTTCCACCAACCCAGAAAAACACCAAACTTCCTATGAGGGGCATAATAAGAAAATGTTAAAGGGCTTGCTGCTAACTAATGTCATGGCTGAATCTACTGTTGTCCTTGACACACACAAACACATACAACTAAGCAAAAGAATTCAAATCTGTGGGTTCTGAGCCTCAAAAAACGGGGATTGCTTAGCTAATCACAGATCCTGCTAAGGTATCAATGCTGATGCTATGCCACAGAAAATATCTGTAACGCATAAGCCAATTTCTTTCTTCTTGGATATTAAAATGTTCTCCAACCTTCCAAAATAGATAATCCAACCTTCCTAAAAGGGCCTTATTTTTCTGAGATATTAACTCTTGCTTTCATAATCTCATCAAAAATAGGAAATTGAGAAGGTGTCACTTTAGGTCACTCCAAAAGAAGTATGGACCCAGGGTTATTAACTATTGCTTCAGTTGGTCCCCATTTTTGTTTCTTTTTTTTCAGAACTTAATTTTCTTGTCTCCTCTCTATTTTTCCTCCTTGCTCCATCCATTTTGCCCAACTCTGCTGGTGCAAAATATGAAGCATTCCAAGTATCTCGAAATACTTGTTCATTCCTCACAGGCCCCAGCCCTACGTGATTTTTATGAATTATGCTTAAGGAAATAGGAGGCCAGGCATATATCAACAAAGAGGAATATTTAGAAGAGGCCTAAATAAAGATACTGAAGTACTGCTCTCCACACAAAAGCCTCTAGAAGGAATAAGATTTACTTGCAAAATATCTTCCTTGCAGTAGAAATGAGTATTTATATTTAGTAAAGCTTCTGGAAAAAACTCCTGCTTCTATACTGAGGATATAAAAAGTTCCCAGGTTCCAGAACTCTAAACTCAACTAAAATATATTTTCACTTCCTAACCTCTTATTTAAAACTTGCTGTTTCAATTATTATTTACCCTTCGGAATTATCAAAGAGCTGGTATACAACATTATAAACACCCTATGTGCAAAGCTGAAACATTTGAAAGTTCTCCCTCTATCTGTGTAGCGATTTGGGTTGTGTTAAGAGCAAAGAAAAGATAGAAAAACCCATTTATAACTTTTCCTGTTAAACCATTTATCTTTTAAAATTCCACGCTATTGCACATATACAATAGTATTTTCTTTTGTCTCTATTTTAGAAAAAGTACTACAAAGGGGTTCCTCTGCATATTATTTCTAACAACTTAGGCACCACTGGAAAGCTTAGCTCAAATTTTCCATAGTAATTTACTCTGTGCTCAGAATAGTCACATGAAGTTTAAGCCACCAGAAAAATTCCTTAGAAAACTGTAATCACATACTGATATTCCAAGAGAGCCAAAATAATTCTTAAACACAGACGAGGGGGTTAAAACGCTCACTTTTCTCTTTTCAAGTACTTTAGGAAAGAAGAAAAAGGGATTTAGTAATGAAGGGCGTCCACGGGGCCCTTCTAAAGACTGTTCATAAATCATGCTAAGCCATCTGCGATGCAGATATATCAGGGACAGGAAAAAGTCATTTTGATATCTGTTTTACATTATGATAACCTTTGCAAGAGTATCGAATGTGTTTTTGCTAATGTTGACAGAATTGTACTTCTTCCAAAGAGACAAGTGAAAATGTCTGCCTAGCAGTACAATTCAACTAGTGTTGCTGGGTCTGAAATGCTTAATAATTGACCAGATGGGGATGAAGGAAACTCTCTGGTTATTGAACCTGTTAGCCTTGATCCTTTGTCAATCATACCATGATGAGAAGAGAAGGAAACACACACACACACACACACACACACACACACACACACACACAAAACCTCAAAAAGCAAATATGCTCTCCATGGTTACCTAATCTGGAGTGCTGGGAAAAATGAAACTGGATTGAATTCTACATTGTCTTACCATATCCATGTTTACAAAGCCCAGGCCACTCTTCATGCATGATTCCATTTAAACAAAAGAAAGCTGTGATGGTACAGCCCAGTGACTTGGAGAACTTTATGATAACAAATTAGAAGCATCTAGAAGCTCACAGAAGACATTAGTGTGTGGAGCCTTACATGTCTCCAATAACAATCTACCACAGGGTAGAAAGAGGACTTATTTTAGTGGGCAAACAGGCGGGGAGGTCAAAGACACCACATACCCCCAAATGTTAGAAATTAGATTTAAAAGTCATATTATGATCTAACATATTTAATTTGTGACCCTTTAAAGTTGGGGCATCAATTTTCTTAGATATGTACCCCACAGCCAAAATCAATGCATCTGGTTCATTATGGGGAGAAATATCTTAATCTAACTTATTTAATAAAGCCTTATTTAATAAATAAATACTTATTTAATAAGAAATATTTCTGGTTTTCCCTTTAAAAAAAAAAAGCACCAACATGCATGCCTTCCATAGCATACAAACACCAAGGTTACATTTTTTATGCATTACTGATTATTCTTTTCACATGTGGAAATTAAGAACTGGTGGTACAAGGCACACCCCCAAAATATATTATGTTAGCCTAACTCTGAAATTAGTGATACAACGCACATTTACTAAAATAAAACCAGGAGTACAGCACGTGACTGAGACTGTAACAGAAAAACTGGAATCTGAAATCATTTGAATTAATGACTGGCAATTTTCTTTGTAGTTTACATAAAGAAAACCACCACAATAAAACAGTAAAGAACGATAACTATAAAAAATGGATAGCAATCACCATAGTTGGCTTTGCAGACCAGAACATTTTAATAAGATATTTAAAGAAGAGTGAATATTCCTTCAAAGAATGCATGCTAGTAGATGACCCAGACATCATGTGATAGGAACAGCAAAATAGGTAAGGACAACAACTTTATATGAGACAGACTAAATGCCTGAACCCCAAGGGACTATCTCAAAATATTAAGTCGAGCTTACTTATTAGAACCTCTGAAAGGAGAACTTAGAGGTCTCCTCATCAAAACCAACCAATTTACCTCTGTCCAACTTAAAGAGACACATTAGTGCAAACCCTCAGACACGTCCATCTTATAAACAGCAAAACACATTGCTTTTTGGAAATGAAAAGAAAAACCCAAAGTCGCATCAACAGTAAAAAAGACAATCAAATACATAAATCAACCCATCCATAGCCTAAAGAATTAAAAGAAAACCCCAGTGTAGGAAAAGCACATATAAAAATGGAGAACATTTCCCCCAATTCAAAGAAAAAACTAACCAGCTGAATTGGGAGTTGACGGTGAGTTAGCTTGGCTTCCATGGGCTGACACATTGGTAGCAGTGACAGCTGTTTTGGCAGCATAAATATTGGCTTCCTCTTGAAATTTACCTATGTTCTTCTTGTACCGGATTCGTTTATTTCCAAACCAGTTTGATACCTAGAGAGGTTTAAAAGAAGACGAGAAAGTTACCAGTTCATCCCGCACAAATATCACAGAGGAAAAGGAAGAGCTTATGAGAGGGTTGAAGAGGTAGGCTAATTGGTCTCATCCTAGCTCTGATTCTGCAACATCAATTAAAAGATCTGAAGGAAGGGCTTGGAGAGGAGCGACTACATAAAATGAGATTCTCTTTCTTAATATAACACACTCTAGCAAAACTACTGTGACAAAGATTTTTCTAGGGAGGAGCTGCTCATTTAACTAGGACCCTTGTAGTTTAGGGCAAGCATTTTAAATCTGCTTACCTCTTAAGTATAGGACACTAAAATAAACCTAGCGTTTCAGGAGAAATGCCTGTTACTTACCAATGCTAAAGCTGACTTTGGGCAATCAAAATATACAGACCTTTAAATATTCAAAGAAATCTATATCAACATATGGGTGCTTTCATGGATGGATTAATTTCACATTTTTATTAGTTAAATAACTTTAATATGGACTAGATTCTTAGCTGTATTGTACTACTGACCTTAGGATCAATATAATTCAATTCAATAAATTTCACTAAGTATTTTGTGCAAAGCTCGGTGTTATCTACAAGAGGAAAAACTGAAGCCTAGCACTGATTACTCCTTTGAATTCCAGGCTTTAAATGTTAACACCAATACACAAAATAAATGTAATTTACTTTCATTTGTTAACCTATTTCCTTCATGTGGCTCACAGTGGCTGTCCTGGCTTGATTCTATGCCCATTCTCTTTATACCAAGACCTCTGCCAGACACAAGTGGAGACACAGTGAAATTCAAGTTTTACTCCCATAATCCTGCCTTAGGAAGCAGAGTTTTATACCCCATATTTCAGATGTGATTTCAAACTAAAATATTGTGGTTTTATACAATTACAAAACCAACCATGAATTTGGTGAGAGAAGGAGAAGTTGGTAACACATGTACCATAGCTTACATGTAATTTAATTTACCCCAACAATGGCAGATAAAGAAAATTCTTGCAAAACTACACTTTTTTAAAGTGCACTAGCTAAATTTAAAAATCTTATAAGGCTATCCCTCATAGACCTATACAGCTCACACTGAAGCAGAAATGCCAAGCCTCTGTAATAAAAATCAAAACATAGCATTGCAATATTAGTAAACAAGAGAGAAAAAAACTCAAGAGAAAATGCTTTATTTATTGTAAATGCTGGTGCCTACAGAGAGAGTTAAACTGGAAGAGGAAGGGCATTTCTGGGTCCATTCAGGGGCCACTGCCTATCTAATTTCACTCCCAAACTCATGCTTTTCTTGATGTAACTTTCACTATTCATAGGAATCAATCATCATTGTGGTTGGGTTTTGACTTCTAAGTGGAACAGAGAGAGGAAAAGAGGCAGGGAGATTTTTTTCTGAGGTAACTAGATGAGCTGGAAGAAAGGGGGAAAGATGAAGGAAGTTTGGAACGACTTTTGAGGAGGAAAGAAAATGCCTGTGCTCTAATAAATTGGCTACATGAGAGAAGGTGAGAAGGAAGAGGGTGGAGAAGGGACCGGTCCTGGGATGATTCCTTTCTACAGGAGAATAGATGCTCATGCAGGGAAGATGCTGGGTCAGTTCAGGCATTTCCTGCATCGTCCACTAGGGGGATGTCATATGCCCTGAACAATGTATAGAATCGGTGTTTTCGTTAATTAACCCACTGTTCAACAATAATTGACAAGGTCTACTATGTGCTAGGCACTAGGGATACAGAGATGACTGACTTACTCCGAGACAGATAATGCAGAAGGAATCACTGATTCTCCGGGGAAAGTTTGGTTCACATTTTGGACATTAAGTTTGAAGAGCCTGTGGGCAGAGCCATGGTGAAGTCCAGTGGGAAGTAAGATATATGAGTTTGGCATTCCAGGAGAGAAGTCTCATGGGGATATTTAAAGAGAAGTATATTTGCAGCTGTGAGCACGGAGGGGGCCACTCCAATTCACTGTGTAGAACAGTACTTTTCAAAGTCAAGTGTGCATGGAGGGCTTATGAAGACAGATCCCTAGCCTCCTCTCCTTTCCACCAGAGATTCTGATTCAGGACTGGGGTGAGACCCAAGAAATTTTTTTTAAATTGAAGTATAGTTGATTTACAACATCGTGTTAGGTTTAGGTGTACAGCACAGTGATTCAGTTACATATATATATATATATATATATATATATATATATATATATATATATATATACACTCACACACACACAAATATATACGTATATTCTTTTTCAGATTTATTTTTCTTTTATAGCTTATTACAAAATATTGAGTATAGTTCCCTGTGCTATACAGTAAGACCCAAGAGTTTACATTTCTAACAAGCTCCCAGCTAATGCTGCCTTCTGTAGATCACACTCCAAGCAGCACTCCAAGCATTAGAATAGAGGAAGAGCTGTTCTGGGATCAAAGGAGAGGATGGTCAATAGATGGGTTTCTGTGTCTGAGCATATTTTTGTTTGGGAATCACAGGAGGACTCACTAGTAAGTGGATTTTAAAAGAATATGTGTCTTAAAAAATAATTAAGGACCATGGGCTAGGACATGATGAGATGGGGGCTAATGAAAGAACAATACTTTTAGGATAGGTAGAGATGGCAGATCCTCTAAGAAGACTGAGCAGGAGTGGCCCAAGAGGAAGGAGAAAACTCCAGAGAGAACAATGTCAAGAAAGCCAAAGTAGGAGAATTTCAAGATGGAGGGTGATTATTAACAACAACAACAACAAAAAACCCCAAAACAGGGCTTCCCTGGTGGCACAGGGTCACCTGCCAATGCAGGGGACACGGGTTCGAACCCTCATCCAGGACGATCCCACATGCTGCGGAGCAACTAAGCCCGTGAGCCACAACTACCGAGCCTGTGCTCTAGAGCCCGCGAGCCACAACTACTCAAGCCCACGTGCCTAGAGCCCGTGCTCCGCAACAAGGGAAGCCACTGCAGTGAGAAGCCCACGCACCGCAACAAGGAGTAGCCCCCGCTCGCTGCAACTAGAGGAAGCCTGTGCCCAGCAACAAAGACCCAACTCAGCCAAAAATAAATAAATTTAGTTTTAAAAAAACCCGAAGCAACAAACAAACAAAAAACAAGAAAGATACAGTCAAAGGCATCTCCTAGATTTGAGAACTAGAGATAGAGGGAGATTTAATATATCATGTGGTCCAACCAACCATGACTGGAGACGGGGCAACGAAGACCCAAATAGAAAGAGTGAGTTCCTAAAATCCCACGGTTGACTCCGCATGAACACGCTCCTAGCAAGTGCTCGTTCTAGGATATCATGTTGTCTCCCACTGGAACTTGTGTGGCAATGGTAGAACAGTCTGGTTATTGTTGGGAGGAAGTGATGTGATGGGGAAGGAAGAATGGTATCGCCCTGGGATGGATAGGGGAAAGAGAAAGGTGATACAGTATATGTAAATCATCATTTTAATGGACACACTATTTGCACCCTGGATTTCCATAATGAAGGATGTGAAGGTTGCTGGAATAGGCCAAGATTCCATTTTTTATTCACACACAATACAGACTAGATCCTGAAGAGTTCATTCTATTTTCAATAGGGATTTGGAATTCCAAATCCCAGAATTTGAATTCAAACAATATAGTGATTTTCAACTTTAGCAGCAGAAGATTCCATGACCGAAATTCACTGTTTGTGGGTTAGTGATATGGTTTATACCTGGAAACATGCAGCAAGCACCACAAAACATTGGTTCTCTTTACTTGTGGACAATGGGTCTAGATTTGGACAAGAATGGTTAGAAACCTAGATAACAATCAGGCCACCTGAATTAGACCACTGATGTTCTGCTTTCCCAGGGTTGCCAAGACTGGAAACGACCTTCTGCTGGGTCCAAGTACCTGAGGAAGGTCCAGGTTAAAAAGGAGACGATTCTTTCTGCCTTGTCTGAAAGGAGGTTTCCAAGGCTGCTGCAAAAATCATACATAGAGTGCTGGGGAGAGCCTGGCAATCTCTTCATTGCAGATCCCCTGTGTGGAGTTCTTTATTTTGACTAGACCTAATTCTGCTTAGCTAAACACAGGTTGATGGGATCAGCACCCGGCGGGGAGTAGCAGAAGCCAGGATTCAGCTCAAGGAAGTACAGATGCTCAGTTTATACAAAACAGCATCTACTTCATTTACAAAATGTTAAGTGAAGTTTTTCACTAAAGTAGGTCTCTTCTCCCCAACTTCCCCCTCCCCCTTGCCCTTTCTGGAAACACTAGTACATTTGATTCTCTTGCACGTGACATAATTCTGAGGAAAGCTTTCTCTGAGAGGTTTCTTGACTATCCCTACTGGTCTCAACTAGAGACTGGTGGTGGTATTTGAGGTTCAGACCGAGTAAGAAGTTTGGATGGATCCTTTCTGTAGACAAGATGTAGACACATATAAAACTTGCTGACCTTTCTACTTCATATTAATGCTGAACACTCCAGGTCCATAAAAATTTTATGTCACGTACCTTTCCACGTCAATAGGCACCTGTTACGGTTATTGCTCTTTGGGGGAAGGGGGCACTCAGTGACATTTTTGTGCAATCATTCCAATGCAAGCATAGTGACACGTTAAAATTCCTACACTCCATCAGTTACAGAGTGAGGACATCAAGAGAGGACATTTGAGTCCCTTTCATTTAAAAGTTCCATTCACTGACTCTTAAAGTTCCTGGGTTGGGCAAAAAAATGGGCCAAGGAATTGAGTATGCTTGAGAAAATAACATGAGAAATTCAGATGGCTTTCCAAGTACACGTAGAATTCTTCACCCATTTGAAGCAACGGAGAGCTCAGAGGGAAGAACCCTGTCCCTGTTTTTACACTGTACTTAGTCTTCTCCTACTTCTGCTGGTTCCTCTCAAGTTTTTCCAGGTACTGCCTTGGAAACTCTCTTATGCACATCATGTGCTGACCTTGCCATTTTAAGGCTTAAGTTGATGGAACTTACAAGGCATGAAAGTTCAGGAAAGCAAGACCTCCAGGACTCTGCACTGTGACTCCACCAGGGCCAGGCTACGGGCTGAGCCCTTTGAGGGCTTCTTACCTGGGACACTGTGATGCCACACTTCTTGGCTAACTCCTCTTTGGCTTCCTCACTGGGGTAGGGGTTGCTGAGATGGGAATAGAAATATTCATTCAGGATTTCCGTCGCTTGCTTGTTGAAATTCCGTCTCTTCCGCCTTCATAAAGAGAAAGGAAACAACAACGACAACGGAAAAAAGAAAAGTTCACACCAAATACATATAAAAAGGGAGAGGAGAGGATCTACGTCTGGGAGAAGACCCTTTTTTGAGTGAAAAGTGAACAAGAGGAGATTTGAGCAAAGGGGTTGGATGCTGAAAGCAGTGCTGAAAGCGTTCTTTAAATACTTCATTGTGTACTGTCGGGACACTAAGCAGAAGAACAATCACATGTATTATACAAATATTTATACAGAGTGGTGAGGGGCACGAAGTTTCAAAATTCCACCATGTTGGTTTTGAACCCTGGACCAGCTGAATACCAGCTGGGTGGTTTGGGATGCCTCTTCAAACTTCAGCTTCTTCAAATGACAGTCAAAAGAGTCAAACTGACCTCACGGGGTGACAGGGAGAAATCAGGTCATACACAGAGAGGACTCAGCACAGTGCCTGGTACATGACAAATACTAGGACTTACTGGGGATTCTTCCTACCAGGTTCCAGGCCTTGGGCCATACCCCCTCAGAGCCATCAATTCAAATTATTCACTTTTCACAACTAGTGAGGTAGCTATGGTTATTCCCATTTACCAATGAAGAACTGAGTTCAAAGGTCACTCAACTAGTAGGTTATAGGGCCAAAGTATCAATTCAGGTCTGCCTGACTACAAAACCCAGCCTCTTTTTTGTACACAGATTGCCTCCTGGCAATTACACAGAGACTCTGTAGCCATAAGTTAAAAATAAGTTGTCTGGACTTCCCTGGTGGCACAGTGGTTAAGACTCCATGCTCCCAATGCAGGGGGCCCGTGTTTGATCCCTGGTCAGGGAATTAGATCCCACATGCATGCTGTAACTAAGGAGCCCATGTGCCGCAACAAAGGAGCCCGTGAGCCACAACTAAGGAGCCCACCTGCTGCAACTAAGGAGACTGTCTGCCTCAACTAAGACCCATAGCAACCAAATTAATAAACAAATATTTTTTAAAAAGTTATTTTCTCTCAGTTCTATCCCCATATAGGTGCATGCAACATTTTTAAAAGGCATGGGGAAGGGGGGCGAGAAAGGATGGAAATTAACCCCCTGACTACTTGACCTCCCTTGAAAGGAGAAAAGCAGCACTTTCTAAGCAGGAACAGCTGCTAAATGGTAAAACATAAGCCCACAGAAATCTTTTTAATATATAGGTTGCGAAAATGAAGAAAACCACTTTTTGAATAAAAGCATTTTTCTTCTTAAAAGAAAAAGTGCTAACTGAACTAATTTAAAGTGAGAATCACTTTGTTGCCTCCTCCCCGCTAAGGCCTGAGGATAGCTGGGGTTTGCTTAGGGATGCCTGGCTCCTTGCAGATGCTGGCTGGCCCTCCTTGAGGGGGTGGGGTCTCTATCTTTAAATTAGCTCCATTAGCACTTCTGCCTTTCTAGCTTTTATCAAAGGCTTTTCCTTATGGGGAAAAAAAATTTCCAGAACATCCCTGGTTATGCCAGGATATTGAATTTTCTGATTTAAGCCAAAAGAAAGCACCAATCGCCTTGCTAGACAGGAAATTCAGCTAATATTGTATTTTCCGGGTCCCACTTGGATTAATTAACATAATAAAGTGCCTGATTTTACCGGATGAACACCATCTGTCCATAGGTATTAACCACATCTGCCCAGATTATGCCAAGCCCAAGTCACCCTCCCAAATCATGCTGAGTTTCTGGGTCACCCAGCATCAGAAATTGGGCAGATTGGATTAAAAGGCCCAACTAAAAAGGAGGCGTGTATTAAGAGCTCTTGCATGATGGGAATTTGAGGATGGTAGCCAAGTGGCTAACCCGGTCTCCAAGCTAGTCTTTGGATAACCTCTGGCTTCCTCTTGGCCTAAAGAAAACAGTTGTTTTAGGCCTGGGGAAGTGGCCCCCGAAGGCTCCCCTAATTGGGAGTTGTTTGCATTAGCATTACAGTGTATTTCTTGGGACTCTTCCAACTGAGCTCATAGGAAGCCTCTCTGGAATGAGCTGGGGTGCAGGGATGGTGCAGACAGCTGTTCCCGGCTCTCTCCTCCTGGTGACGTGCAATCTTCCTTTAGGTGGTCTCATCTACTCAGATGAATGCACTTATCACCTTGTGCAGTGGCTGTCTCAATCTAGGGCCTTTGGAGCCCCAGAAGTAGGATTTTGCAGAATTTCAAGAAACTCAGTAAAAATAATATAATTCTGACGATAAGGTTATTTGAACTAAGACACCTGGTTTCTTTGCTTTGGCTGGAAGCGTTTTCAGCTCGGTGAGTTAACGTGTTATTTCAAGCCAACCAAAAGCTCTGATCATCAGTTATCCAGGTAAACTTAAGAGATGTGGAAGTTGATTAAATTTTAGGGATGGAACCTTTCAAATCACAGTGACTCAAGAGGGTGGAGTGTAGGCGCTGTGCACATATGTTGCTAACCACCAAATGTGTTATCTCTGACCAAATGCCTCTCCTAAAAGCCAACACCCCATTTACTACTGCATACCCCAGACACTTCCAACAAACTCTGTGTTGCTAAGACTAGTATCACATTTCACCCAAACCAGCTCCATTTTCTTTTCTTTCCATATTATATAATGACATCACCATCGATACAGAGTTCATTGTATTTGCTAATCTGTTCGTCCATTCATTCGTTTGTTTATTCCTTCAAATATTTGAGTACCTAGCATGCGCCAGCATCTGGGAGCGATTCTCAGTTCTTCTTGTTCTCTTACTGGATAAACACTCTCTGTCCATGGGTATTAACCACATCTGTCCAGATTATGCCAAGCCTAAGCCACTTTCCCAAATCATGCTGAGTTTCTGTGTCACCCAGCATCAGAAATTGGGCAGATTGGATTAAAAAGCCCCACTAAAAAGGAGGCGTGTATTAAGAGCTCTTGCATGATGGGAATTTGAGGAAGGTAGGCCCCAGAGCAAGTCTTCCCAGTTCTATTTTTCAAATCTATCCCTTTTGTTCCATCCTTAGTGTCACTGTTGTTTTTGAAATGGGTTTAGAGGAACCACAGTCTGTCATATAATGGTCTTAGTAGTGTTGCCCAACAGCACTTTCTGCAATGAGGAAAACGAATGTTCTCTGTTCTCCAATATAGCAGCCATCAGCTGCATGTGGCTATTGAGTGGCTGAAATAGGGCTCGTATAACTGGAGTGCTAAAGTTTTAAATTTTATTTACTTTAATTTTAATTAATTTAAATTTAAAATCAAGAAGCCACAGACTAGACAGTGCAACTCCATACTGATGCTTTCCCTAAATCGTGGCCAAGCAACCCTCCTAGAAGGAGAGCATGGACTCACAGCCCTGGTGCACACCATCAAAAGCACGAAATGGCTCCAAAACCCCCTGCTGTAGTCTATTCCATCACATACCAATGTTTATCTTAAAATAAGAATATTTTCCTCCAAATATCTGAGTAAAATGGGGAAGGTTTTTCATACTTATTCTGCATTTCCCCAGTTTGAGAAGCACACACCTCAACAGTGGTCTCCTACCGTTTCTTTGAATTCAGCCCATCTTCAAGAAAATCACTAGAGGAATTCCTCCAAACCATGGATCTGATCATGAAAATAATAATAATAATAATAATAAATAATATATAATATACTGAACCTTACTATATTATAGCTGAATTACGGTGTGAATACTATGTTCCAGACGCTATACTTTTTTAATATATTATCTTATTTATTCTTGTATAGAATTATCCCCATTTTAGAAACACAAAAACTGAGTCTTAGGGAGGATAAGCCACTGACCCCGGGTCACAAAGGTAGTCAGGGTTGTAGCAAGGATCTGAATCCAAGAAGTGCAGCTTGAGAACTTACACTATAAATTACTATATTCCCTCCTTAAACAGCTCAGAGTTTCTGCTGCTTCATAGGACCAAGTTAAAATCTTTGCTGGTACAGTTAAGGTCTTTCAGTGGATCTAGCCCCTCCCTAGTGTCTCATTTCCCTCCAACCCTACACATGCTCTACATAATTTCATCCAGCTACATCATATGCTTCTCCATTCCCCAAAGACACTCACGGCGTTCATGTTCCCTTGCCTTTTCATACCACCCTGTGTATTTCTCTCCAGCAGCATTTGCCACAAGTTTACATGTGTCTTCCCAACTAAACAGCAAATCCTCAAGGGGAGGAGCCATGTTTCACACATATTTGAAACCCCGCTGCCCAACACACAGTATGCATTCCAGTAAGTAATGCCTGTGGAAGTTGAATTATGTTGTTCACTTTGCTTCTGTGATTCCTTCTATGTGTTAAACATCATACTCCTCTGAGACTCAGCACTGTCTGCCTCTCCCTGATTTTCGATTCTCTCTCCCCTTTGGGTAAACTTGGCAGATGTACTTCCTGTGATCATGCGCAGTTTTATGCTGTTATAAGAGCACCTGTCCCAGGAGGACCCACATTTACATGCATTTTTTCATCTTTGTTATTCCAGTGGCTAATATAGCATTTGACAGAGAGTAAAAACTCAGAGAAGCAAATAAATCTAAATACAGTGCCAGTTTGGCCAGACCTTATTGGATGTCCTTTCCTCTTTCTTACCGTCCCCTTTGCTAATCATTTTAGGTAACTCCGTCTACCAGGGTGAAGTGCAGAGGTGTACTTCCAACCATGTGTTTAGGTTCTTATTGTTCTCTCTAGCAAGATGTTATTTTTATAAAACAAGATAAAATTACTGTATTGCTAGAAAACCATTAAAAGGGTTTACAAGTTCTCTCTCTCAAAGAATTATTGTAGTCCTGACAATAAGCTTACCAAGTTTTACAGCACAATGCTTGATATAAAGCTGAAATAATAAATGTTGAGTGAATGAATGAATGAGTAGAATTTTTAAGTTAAACTTTTCTGGCACTATAAGGAAGACAAAAAGGATATGACTTGGGGCTTCCCTGGTGGCGCAGTGGTTGAGAGTCCGCCTGCCGATGCAGGGGACACGGGTTCGTGCCCCGGTCCGGGAAGATCCCACATGCCGCAGAGCGGCTGCGCCCGTGAGCCATGGCCGCTGAGCCTGCGCGTCCGGAGCCTGTGCTCCGCAACGGGAGAGGCCGCAACAGTGAGAGGCCCGCGTACCGCAAAAAAAAAAAAAAAAAAAAAAGGATATGACTTGAGTGGACAAAACCTGGCCCAAATGCTCAGCTGGGGAGTGTGGAAGGCAGAATCCTAAGAAGATATGTAAGATTCCACCCTGGGGTACATCTCTTTCCCTTGAGCGTATGTGTTGGGGGGCACTGTGAAAATAACAGGATATCATTCCTGTGATTAAGTTACCAATCAGTTGACTTTGCGTTAATGAAACGGGAGATCAGGTTAAATCCTTAAAATGGTGACATTCTCCAGGAAGAAAGCAAGCAGACAACTTGTAAGCTGCCTGTGGAGAGGGCAGCTTCTAGGATCTGGGGACTTCAGTTCTACAACCACAAGGAACTGAATTATGCCCCTACTGGAATGAGCTTCAGATAAGAGCGTGGCCTCAGCGGACCCCTGGGTTGCAGCTTTGTGAGACTAGAGCAGAGAACCCAGGTTAGCCTGCCCAGGCTCCTGAACAACAGAAACCGTGAGATAATAACTCTGTGTTGTTCTAAGCTGCTAAATTTGTGGTGATCTGTTCTTCAGCAACACAGAATACAAGGAATGTTACACAACAAAGCAGTAACATTCAATTCTGCATACCCATTACATGACGAAGACTAATCCTGTTACTGAATCCAGTCCTCCTTGCATTTTGTCTTCCAAGAAATCTTTTCCGATGAAGCCCTGCCCATCAGATGCATGGTTTAGAGAAGCACATGAACATTAGCAGTGAATGTGTCTTTCTTAGTAAAGTGTGTTTAGCTAGCTTTCCCCATTATAGATAGCACTAGAAGCAATGATATTAGCTACCGCAATCAGGAAGTCCAGGCAAACGTTTATTTTTGAGCTGGAAAAACCATTTGCTTAGCCTTGGGTTGGCACTTGGGGTCATATTTTTTCAGCGATACTAAATATACATACCTCTAAGTAAATGCTAATAACAAAGACAAAAGGTTAGTTGTTTTAGTTTTGAACCTTGGCTCAGAGGCAATGATTTAAAGGTTGCAGCCAAAGCAGGAAACAGACCCTCTCTTACAGTGACTGTCCTTCTGGTGCCAACTGGAACAATCTAGGCAAAGGCTGGTGGAAGTGAAAGGGACTCTGTACAAAGCTCGCCTAGTTTCGCATCTTTTAGAGTCTGACCTTCTGCTGGCCACAGCAGAGTTACTGAGAGAAGAAATCCTATGAGAAAATGATTCTGCTCCTCCCTTCTCTCTGATTTCTTTCTTGAAAAGAACCCAGTCTGGGCCCAATTTTTCTTTTTTTTTTTTCAGTATCTGCCAACATAAATGCCAACTCCAGCATTTTAACGAGGGGAGTTACCATGGGGATGTAAACAACACATGCAGAGTGGCAGCGGCCACAGCACAGGGGAAAGACCCAGACACAGGCCACCAGTCACTTGCACTTTGTACCGTGCGGAACGGCCTGCTTTAAAGAAGCCAGGCTGGCAGCAGGCCGCGGGGCGAGGGCGATGCACGGCGTGGGGAGGGGGGGTCCTGCTTCAGAGGGCCTGTGCATTCCCCCACTCATCACCATGCTCTGCTGGGAACAGCTCTCTTCATTTGTACTTTCTCTTGACTTACTCTATGGAATTCTATTAGCCCAGAGATCCAGTTTGCTAGCTGGCGTTCTTATTTCATATTCCACGTGATCCAAAACACAATGAATAAAAGGGAGTTTAGGAGGTGCCAGGGAGTTTTAAAGAGGTCTGTGAACTGTAAAGACCACACTTGTGAAGGGAGAGAAAAGTACAGGTAAGAGAGCTGAATACTACATGATTTCCGGGGTGAAAAAATTTAAAAAGCAGAGCATTTGGGTGTCTGAATGAAAAGGAACAAAACTACAGATTATTAAATGGTATATGACCCTGACATACCTAATGTTTCAATAATAAAAATCATATGTTGGGATTATATTCAGGAATTGAAACAATGAATGATGAAATCTGCATTTATAGAAGATGGCTAATTTAAGATGAACTGTAGATCACAAAGGATATCCACACTCTGAAAACTTATTTATTAGATCAATTATCAACACACTCCCCTAGAGTAGATGAAAGATATGATATCACCATTTTACAGGCTGGATAACAGAAACCAAAGAAATCAAAAGGATTTGTACAAATCCACTGGTCTAGAGGGTAGGAGGACCAAGGACTGGTTATTTGTTCTATAGTCTCAGTTTTTGTCGTAAAGGACCTTTCTATCCGTGATTTCAACTGAATTCTTTGACCTCACAAATTAGGTCACAAGTTAATGTCAGGTAGAAAACATCAAATCTTGATTGAAAAGCTGGCCCATATCAGACCAGTCCCTTGCCCCTCTACGCCCAAGGGACCATGTCTTCTTCATCTTTTCATCTCTGTGCCCCTAAAACTCAGCCCAGAGTAGGACACATGGTAATCTAGTTATAAATATTTGTTGACTCGAACTGGGTGCCCTCTCTGCCTACATATACTGTGGCAAAGATTCCCAGCTCTCAATCAGAACTTTCTGGGAGAAAATAGGTCATTGCACTATCTAGCAAGACCTGTATGGGCCCATAGTTACAAACTATTCCTGTGAAAGAGACACCTAGCGGTATGAAAACAAAACGTCCTGCTTTTTCTGTCCCTGTAGCTAAGTCATCCTTGCTTCTCATGAAGAGTGAGTAAGCAGCGGCCATAAAGAATACCCCCGCCCATGACACATTTTCCTGGAGCCATATAAGACCAATGGCCATCCACCCTCTCAGCACTCCTTTCCCTGACTAAGAACATTTCTCAGGCTACCACTTGGCTTAGCCTTGAACATGATGACAATGGAGTCTTTGGAGAGGGCCAGCCGTGGATTCCAACCCTGGATCAGTGGGTTCTCCCAAAGGACAGACCCCTCCTGGGGACTCACCGCGCATCCAGAAACCGGGAACGCAGGATCATGACGGCCTCACACGTGCTTTGCTTCAGCTGCATCTGGATGGAGCTGAACTTGCGGTGGATGATACTGACCATCCGCTCGATCTCCTTCGGGGAGATGGGCCTGGTCCGGCTTTGCTCTCGCAGGAGATTCATCACGTGGGTGGTGAACTCATTACAGGCCTGGAACGGCAGGATGACACACATGGGGTGTGGGGAGGGTCCAAGCCTCAGCACGCTTGACGTGAGGCTGTGTAGGTCTTTTGCTAGAGACGTGTGCAGGTAAGGAAAGTGGGCTAGTTTGTGGCATTCTGTCAAATCGGAAAAAATAAATGATGCCTGGAAATCCCTTTCCGCCCATTTGATTATAATTTTTGGCCATGCTGTGGATTTTTTTAAAGGGAAAAGAAAATTCTTAAGTATTTTTCAAAATCAATTATTTTTCATGATTTTACTACTATGAAAGATGAGAACATGGACACTAGTATAAAACACACTTCACAACCCTTCACCCCAATGTTAACAGTCAAAGAGAGTTTGGGGCCACATATAGCATGAACTTTCTGTCTTGCCCTTATCTCTGATATGTTAAAGCTTCCAAATATTCAATTCAGCATAAACAGCCCAAAGAGTGGAATCATGGACTTAAAAGCTCTGATAACTCTTCTGGGAGATTTCTCATCCATCTATTTCTACTTCTACTTTTATCGTAAGGACTCCCTCCTATGCCGGTCTTCCGAAGATCTGCTATGTCTATAACACAAAGGGAATAGGTTAAAAAAAAAAAAAAAAAAACAGCATCCAAATATGAATTAGAGGATTCAGGAGTTATCCCTGCAGAAAGGAAAACTCTCAGGTTAGAGGCCAACATACTCTCAGCTCTGGAAGTGAAACTGGAGATCATTTTTCCCACCTCCTTATTTTACAGTTGGGAAAACTGGCTCCAAGAGATGAAGGGCCCACAGCAAAAAACAGCAGCTGAGGCAGGACCTGAACACATCCTCATCCAGGCCAGGGTGTCTCTTCTTTCCCAGACCCTGAATCTGCTCCTCAGAGCACCACTGCCCTTTCTCTTAGTTACTATTACTTGTCATCTCGGTAGTCGGGTTTTATTAGTGAACATTCAATAAAATATCTACTCACAGGTTAACTCACAGTAATGTTCTAAAACTGTATAAGACTGTTCACAAAAAAGGGCAACTTGATGCTGTGAGACTTGAAGAACTAAGGACTCAAAGGGTTCAACTTAATATTAACAGTGGAAACACGCCCATTGAGGCTAACACTGCATTGCCCTTGTTTTTTTACAGCACCAAGCCCTTCCTAGCTGTCAATTATGCAGTAACAATAACATATTTACAGTTCATTTCTCCAAGAAATCCTTCGAGGTCGGCTGGCCAAAGATACAAAGGCAGACGCATCCACTGGGCTGTGTCTACACTGGGGGCTGGGAGGCCTGGGCTTTGACCTGCCTCCGTGAGTATGAGGGTAAATCCTTTCACTACTCAGTACTTCATTTTATTTGTCCGAGAGTGGATTGAATCATTCCTGACCCTTCAGCAAGGCTAGCAGTGCCCGTGCTCTAGTGCAGTGACCTGCAGATGGAGTAAATCACTCACATGAACGCAGCAGTGGGCTAAGAGCACAGACTGCCTGCGTTCAGATCCTGCGCTGGCACTCACTTCGCTCTGGGGCCTCGGTTAGTTATGTAAGATCCCTGTATCTCGTCTTCCCTATTTGTGAAATGGGGATGACAGTACCTCAAAGGGTGTGGTAAGGACTACATGAGTTACTCTCTTTGTGTCTGGCCACATAAATTGTGTCATTATTATCTCTTCAAAGTACAGAGAACTTAGAAACCCAGCACAGGATCACGATTGGGCAAACCTCTCGCCCCGTGGTAAAACTAAAGGGGGTCACAAATACCTTCTTTCTAGGCTGCAGGCATATGCTGCAGACAGAATCCATAGAAGATCAGGTCCAACAGCAGTTTGCTCTTACTAAGAAAACTGCTACCTAAACACGAGATCTTAGTATAAGCTTCATCTCTCCCCAACCTCAACAAGGGGGGGAGATAAAACCTGGCAGCGAGTTGGCAGCAAGTCTATGAGAAGTCGGGGTGGGGCGTGGTGGGGGGAGGCACACGGCAGGCATCCTAAGTGGCTTTCCGGAGAAACGCTTCATCCCCCGCTGGGCTGCAGCCTCTCCCCGCTTGATGGGGGCTCACAGGGAGGAGGGACTGGATGTGAAGGAGGTATTGTCAAGTGCACTTGCTCTCTGCTGGGGAGCCACAGTGCTCAGCTAATAATGAAGTGCTTCATTACGGTGAATAAAAATACTCACAATACCTGATGCTTATTTAGGGCATTGGATCCCGGGCCCCTCTCTGCTCTGCCCCAAACAGACAGTGGAGTCTTTTCACCCACTGCTGAGGTGCAGCAAGACAGCTGCTCAACAGCTGCTCGGGAACACGCAACAGACAGTGCAGAGGAGTTCCAAGTCCATTTTAGACAGACAGAACACAGTGATCCAGATTTTTCCAGGACCTGAACTACCCACGTCTCCTCCTCAGTTCCCCCAAGCTCGGCACCTTCACAGGCTGTGCTGCTCCCATGTAGCCAGGCGCTCCTGATGGAATTGGGAAGCGTGGGGATGGCAATCGTTCATTAAATAGGACCCTCGCCGGCTGAAGGTTTCTGTGACAGAGGAGACTCTGCTGCAGACTGTCCGAAAGATGGTACACCTCCTGGAGCTACCCCTCCAGCTGCCCCCAGAAAGCGGACGCTTTCTGAAAGGAGACATCCCAAGTTCCAAGGCAAAGGCCCTTCTGGGAGCAGCCTACCCAGGAGAAGCTCTCTTAGAAAATCCTGCTTGAGTTTAAGCAATTTAATCCTAGACTTGAAGCCTCCTTCCTGCACTTCTCTTCAGCCCACCTTCTTCGCTTACTGCTTCAAACTGGATTCGGCTGCCAATTTCAGCAACGAATGTGACTGGGATTTTAAGACTTTCTTGGCTGTGAAGGGACCTGACCCACCTGGGTTCGGCCTTAGAGACAGCCTTGTCAATGCCCTGGCAGCATTATTCACGAAAACTGAAAAGTGAAGAACTCTGCAAAACGACAAGAGTATCGTTTTTTAGAATAGCACTTGGAACAAAATTCAGGTTTCTGGATATCACGGTTTTATCTATTAGAATATGCTAGCTCTTAAATACCTTCGCTTCCAACATGATCTGCTGAAAAAGTGTTTTACCAGCCCCTTTTAATGAAGAAAACAATTTCCTTCTTTTCTTTTGAGTGAAAGTCTCTAGAAGCCTTCTTTATCTAATAACCTCAGGGTGAAACAATGGCTGACTCACGTTGGGTTTTTTTGGGGTGGGGGAGGTGGGGGATGGGTGAGTAGGGTTATGGTAGCTACTTACTGGAAAGCTAACTGATCCTCTGGTTATCTACCATCACCAAACTAAAATCAAAACAAAACAAACCAAAACAACAGAATCAACTCTTAAATAGTCAGTTTGGTAACCATCTAGGTACTACTAAAACAGAGACTGACATTTTTCCTATTTTTAAGGAAGCTCCCGCAAGGAATGCTTACAGAAAACAATGAAGAAGATCTGTCTCTCAGACATACTAGCTAGAAGGTTAGTGGCATAATTTCCTTATAATCTGCTATTTACTATAATTAACAATACAACTAATATTAATAAATTATTAAGCACATAGAGTATGTTAAACAGTATTCAGTTCTTACCCAGAAAATGCCCAAAGAAATAAGGAAATGATTTTCTAGAGTTTTTGAAGAATAACAAATACAGACTGCTACTACATTTACCTAATTTGCTCTGTACTGATGGAGCTTTTCCTTAAGCTCCCAATTTCCAGCATGATTATTACTTAGAATAGGTAGATATCTGTGAGAAGTTTCTGAAGAAGAATAGTTTTTTTATCACTAGCCTCTCTTAGAGAGCATCAATCTAGTCCATGAAAGTAACAGAGAGGTCAAGCCGGTTACTTCATTGTCTACAGACGTCCATACTTGTTCCACATTAAGTGCGGCTGGCTGGGTATTGTTCCAATAAGAGCCCTTGGGCTAAGGGTCAAAATCTGGCTTCCAGGGCCAACTCTGTCCCTCCTTTGGATGTGTGACCCAGATACATCACCTAACCTCTTTGACCTCCAGTTCCTCAGCTGTATCGAAATGAAGATGATGACAGTACCTGTCTGGAGGACCCAGCCTTAAAATTACCTCGAGGAACAAGTGCCGTTAAGTTGACAGAAGTGCTTTAGTCATTTTGGATGAGGATGGAAGAGTGAGTCAAGGAAAGGGTCCATTCGTCTATGTTGCTGGCAACCTGAGCTCAGAAGAAAGCCAGTTCTAAACGCCATCCAGCCTAACATCCATGCCAGTTATGGGTTTAGGGAGGAAGCCACACTCGTCGTGTGCCCCTGGACTTTGGCATGAGTTAACCTGGATACTAGGTCAAGATAGTTTGTTATGCCAGAGGCCAAGCTTAGCAGTGAAGGTAAAATAGGGAAAGCACAGAGTAGGAAGAACCCAAGAGGCCAGCTAGGGACCTTGTCAGCAAACGTCCCCATGTGTCTTCCCAACTTATCCCGTTAGTTGGGGCAGACTCTGAACCCTAACATGATGGCCCAGGTGGGGAAGCTGTCATAGATCAGCCAGCTTACCTGAGCTCAGCCTCTCCTGGGAACTGAGGAAATGTCTACATGAGCCTACACCGTGTTAAGAATGTTTCTTCTTTCCCAGGAAGGTGGAGGGTGACGGTCCACAGGTTCTTACCACAAGATTGCTTTTATTTTCCTCCCCTTGAACCCTCCCTACACCCGTCTGATGGCTGAAATTCACCACGCTTGGCTTCCAGCTTCACACCGTTTTCCCTCATAAAAGAAGGGACTTTGTAGAAATCCATTTCAAAGGTAGATAGGAGTGCAATAATGAAACTTTCTTCACTTTAAATTTTAAAATGCCTATTTCTATTTTAAAATTTAAATTTTCTATTAAATTTGCATTTGCCTTCTACCTAGACAGTCGTAAGTGGACAGTACAGGGTCTTCCACTTTTTGCTTTTTCTCCCCCTTCTTCTGTGACCCTTAAAAAAGAAAAGAAAGCCATAAACCTAACAATTCAATGGAAGTAAGTTAACTTAGAACTTCAGGACAATGTCACATCCAAAGAGATGACAACAAATGTATCTATAAATAATGGGAGGACAGCCTGACGTTAAGGGACTCCTAATAAAGTAGTATTGCTCATACTGACCAGAGGACACAATATTGATATTTAAATTCACATGTGGGGTCTTCCCCGGTGGCGCAGTGGTTAGGAATCCGCCTGCCAATGCAGGGGACACGGGTTCAAGCCCTGGTCCGGGAAGATCCCACATGCCGCAGAGCAACTAAGCCCTTGCGCCACAGCTACTGAGCCTGTGCTCTAGAGCTCGTGAGCCACAACTACTGAGCCCACGTGCCACAACTACTGAAGCCCATGCGCCTAGAGCCCCTGCTCCGCAACGAGAAGCCACCGCAATGAGAAGCCCACGCACCGCAACGAAGAGTTGCCCCCGCTTGCCTCAACTAGAGAAAGCCCACGCGCAGCAACGAAGACCCAATGCAGCCAAAAATTAAATAAATTAATAAATAAATAAATTTAAAAAAATTCACATGTGTGTGTATGTGTGTGGGGGGGGTCCTTTAGTAGAGAGGGGCGCTATTATAATTAGAATACCGTACAACATTTATATACTGTTCTATGACTTAAAGCCTTTCTCAGCCTTTCCTTCATATGATTTTTATGGCTCTTTGATATCCTAGACTCCAAATCCACAGCTCTTTGCCAAAAACCCCCAGCTTTTAGGGTATAGTACGTGGACCACTGGATCCCAGAGACATTTAGTGGAGTGTTAGGACTGGAATTCAACTTTGTCTGACTCCAGGGGTCCCCTGAGACCCTCTACTCTTCTTCTAGCGGGAGGCGTGTCTCGTATTGCACACCATATATAAAAAGCAGAACATGTTTGACTCCCATTTGAACTGAATCTAGGTAGAGCGAGGGACTTTAGTGTCCATTTCCATAGGATTCCATGAGCACCATGACCCTCTGCTCATGACCCTGAGAGCCCCGGGGCTGCATGTGCACAGGGAAACACTCCAGAGCTCCAGGAACTGGGTTTTCCTTATATTGACTATGGATGTTTTCTGAAATCATCATTTACAACTTCGACTTTTTTTTACGGCTTTATCTCTAGTTTGCCCGGGTTTTCAACAGTGGACACCAAGGACTCGGTGGGCTCAGGTTCAGCAAGTGGCTCTGGGGTGAGGCCGGAGATGCTGGATCCCAGATGTCAGTCTCCAGGAAACGCTGCCCGCCTCGGCGCCCACAGCCCTGAGTTTCCTGATGCCTCCGCCCTTTTCCTGAAGGGCTGGGGGGCGCCCAGACCCCACAGGGCTGTGGTTACCTGCTCGTATTTCTCCAGCTCCGTGTGGTAGATTTGTCTGATCTGTGAGAGTTTGGCTCTGTAATCAGAATGCTCCACCGAATTGTCGGAACCGGCGCCTCCAGAAGCTGCCGCCGCCGCAGCCGCCGCGGCCGAGCCGCCACCCTTCTCTGGCCCGGCCACCCCCTCCGCCAGCAGCATGTTGTCCAGTCGCATCAGCTGGGGGTCTGTTGGCTCTTCTTCCTGCGCTCCCCGGATACTCAAAACTGCGGGAAGACCCAAAAGAGTGGGGAGGTGTTAAGAGTAACCCAACGAAGCAAAGGTTAATAACAACAACAAAAAAACTCCCAATGTATCGTTTGGCTAAGTCTCAAATTACTTGCAATATGGCATCTGAGCAATGGGTTGGAAAAAGAGAGGGATTGGAGGAGGAGAAAATGCAAGGACAGATTTGCTTCGTTCCCCAAGTTAATTATATCCCATCCTATGAGGTACCTAGCATAGTCCAATTGATGGAGGCAGAAAGTAGACCAGTGGGTACCACGGGCTGCCGGGAAGGAGGGAGATAAGGAGTTCGTGATTAACCGGTACAGAGTTTCGTCTTGGGAAGATGAAAAAGTTCTGGAGATGGATGGTGGTGACGGCAGCACAACAATGCGAATGTACTTAATGCCACTGGACTGTCCACTCAAAAACAGTTATAATGATAAGTTTCAGGTTATGCGTATTTTACGACAGTGAAAGAAATTTCAAATCTACAAACAAATTAATGATAGCAATATAGTTTTCACTTTCATCCCCAAACTGCCGAATTTTAATTCAAGGAAAAGCATTTCCTTCTTCATTCCTAATTTTAGATTTCTGTGAGGTTGTGGGTTTACACTCATTGACTTTGGAATATTCGATCAGCCTGAATTTTCATCTCCCCAATAATCTAAGCCAGGCAAATCCAGTTAATTTGGAGGGAAGTGTTAAACCTCTCCCCTGGACTAGGGATTTCCATCTCCCCACATTGAGATCAATCTGTTCCAGGTGATAAGAACTCCATCCTGGTACAAACAAGGGTGAGGTCCTTTTAACAAGCTGTCTCGGGGATTCAGAGAAGCCAGTATTCTGATAGGATGGAGAAGGCTCAGCTCTGTTAGAGGCTCTGCTTTTTATTAAAACACCATGACCATTTGCGGGGGATGAGGGGGTGATTTGGACTGAAAGAGATCAAGTGATTTAGTAAATCAGCAGAAGAGCTAGGCAGTCTCTTTTTACTACCTTCAGACAACCTGCCATAAAGTAAATCACTCATCTGAGCCCAGTTTACCTGTCAGCAGCCAAGTCTTTGTTGAGAGCGAACACGAAAAGAATTTCCAATTAAAAACAAACTGAGAGTAGGAAAGGAGGAACACGATTAAAGACGGAGGAGAAGGCGTCCCATGCTGGTTCACATCTTGGGGACGGAGGTGGCAGGGTCTACGCAGCCTGGTGGGTATGTGAACACTGGTGCAGCCAGAGAGCCCAGAGCTGTTTCCAGCCGGGATGCATCTGGTGAGCACCACAGGGACGGTGCCACGTGCAGTTGTCTCCTGAGCCCTAGCAAGGCAGCCCCACGGGGTTGTGACAGGGAAGGTGGATCTGAGCTCAATCCGAGGGGACATGTAGACACTCAGGGCATTTCATCACATATAATACCAGCATAACTGCTGGCTGTGTCCACATGCTCCTGGCTTCTAACAGGCATGACAAGAAGCAACCTTGGAAGCTGTTTCAAAGGAAAGCCCGATTCCTGTGCTAAAAGGAAAATGGCAGCTTTGCTTTCATGAAACAGGAGACAGTCAAGTGGAAGGTCAAGTCATGTGGACCAGGGCTGGCGGTTAGGATTAAAGGCACGGGGTAGGGACACGTGCCCCCCACACCCCATGAAGTAAGAAAGGACGGGAGGAGGGAAAGGAGGACGTGGGGAAGGCAGTTAGCTGGGGAGGAAAGAAGGAAGTCCTCTCTGACGCCCAACAAGCCAGACTTCAGGACCCAGGTTCTCCTCTTGCATCTGAATTTTTAATATTCTGCTGCACTAAAAGAAAATTGCTACATTGTTAATGGCACAGGTTAGGGGATCCTGGAGGTTTATTTTGTGGACCTTTTTCCAATGACATCCTTTTTTTGTAATGGGAAACTGTCCCTTTGATCTTAGAATAATAAAGATTTAGTCATGTTATTCAGTTCCTTGAATTTATTTACTCAGATCTACAAAGTCCTCAGAAGAACATATCACTAACAAAGGTTTCCTTAAGAAAGGAAATGAATGCAGTAACCATTTCCTGAATACCAGTCCCTAAAGGTGGGGAAAAGAACGTGACCCCGCAAGGAGCTGGGCTCAGAGCCCAGGAACCCTTCCTTCCTGGCCTGTACAGCCCAGTGAATTCTTCCAGGTGAGGGCATTTACGTGGGGTTTATGGATGTTTCCCCAGTGAATTTTACTGAATGAATTTTCATTACTTTACCAACGACAAATATCGATGGGCCATTTACAAATGAAAAAAAGAAAAAGAAGATCAACTCTGAGCCATTCTGTAATTGTTGCACTTTTGCTTGATCATTAAAAAACTGGTGCTGAGGCAAAACTTGACACTAATACGGCCAGTGTATCCCAGAAGAGGCTGCAAACTTTGGCTGACGGGAAATCTGCCCAAGATGCTGAGGCTGGTTAACTCCGGAGCCGGGCAGTGATGCCTCCAAGTGCTTCTTCCTCATCAGTCTATAACAATCCTTCCTGACAGATCCAGCACGGACAGATCTTGTGATGGTTTCTGGTCGCAACAATGGTAGCAAAGCAAAAAATAATCATGTCATCTTAATGGTGAAGACGCACTTTCCTAGGGCTACCTAAACACTGCGTTACCTGAGGTGGTGATGAGCATCGTCAGACGGCACCTGTGCCTCAGACTGACCTGCTCACCCCATTAGCTTGCTCCTCTAGCAAAGTTCAATTTGTTATGAGAGGAGAAAGAGAGGCAAAGAGACAGGCATGCACAGACCAAAGTGCTGGCACTAGTTCCTCCAGGCACCAGGTAGGTGACTAGGTGGGCATGTTCCTACTAGTATTTCCCATGTGCCCAATATTTACCTCTGAGAATATTTTCTCTTTCCAGCCTCTCTCAGTTGCACCCACGCCCATGCCCCACTTTTTCGTTTAAACAATCAACGGGAAGCACGAAACGTCCACACAAACGCTGTACACCTACCTAATTAATATTTTTCTTGGTCTTGAAATCTAACTGGTTTTAAATGAAATAAGAGAGCAGGTTGCTAAAGCTGGCCAAGGACACTGAAAGGATACAGCGTTAACCCCCTACCCACCAAAGAAGTTCCAGGACTAGCACAGAGGGTGAAGCCGTAATCTATACTGACTCTTAGTTTTTCCCCCCTCAGGTACGAAAGATACATTTAGTTGGGGGAAAAAAACACACACACGCAGAGTAAGAGTGTTATCATTTCGCTTAGCTTTTATATAATTTGATGACTCCTGTAAATAAATACTCTTCAAAACGAAATTTGGATTCACTGAGATTTAATGTAATTGATTTCTAAATGTGGCCAAGAAGAAATTGGTATGCTAGAAATACAATGTACCATAACATCAATGGTGCTTGCATTTATATTCAGAGTTCAGGACACATAAATTGGCCCCAAACCAGAGATCTGAAGAAAATAAAGGAACAGAAAAATGTGGAAAAACAAAAAACCCAACAGTCTTCTCCAAATTACACCCTTTAAATTATACTCAAATGATTGTGAAAATAGAAATTTCAGAGTATGTGTCAGAACCACCATCATAACTATACACACACACACACACACTTACACACACACACTCACACACAATATAAACAAAAGAAAACTTTCCTCTTCCACTATTTTACATGGAAGATTCTGGTTCTGAGGGTCTTGGACTGTGCATGTGTGCTGGGCAGAGGCCCGGATCGACCAATAAACAACACTGCATGTACAGGTTTCTGCCCAGAAGGAGCAGCATCCGTACCACTATAAAAATGGGTGTTGGGGCTTCCCTGGTGGCGCAGTGGTTGAGAGTCCGCCTGCCGATGCAGGGGACACGGGTTCGTCCCCCGGTCCGGGAAGATCCCACATGCCGCGGAGCGGCTGGGCCCGTGAGCCATGGCCGCTGAGCCTGCGCGTCCGGAGCCTGTGCTCCGCAACGGGAGAGGTCACAGCAGTGAGAGGCCCGCGTACCGCAAAAAAAAAAAAAAAAAAAAAATGGGTGTTGAGATTCACTGGTATGAGAAACTGTTCGGCCAGGGAGTTAAAAAAAAAAAAAAAAAAATCCCACCAACATTAAATAAACGAAAAGGCCGATATGTCTAAGCAGAGTGATGCTACCCATTTACTGCTTGAAGCCGGCACTCTGGCAAGTAGGAGACAAAATGATTATTTAAAAGCTCCTTTTTTATCTCTGTAGCACCATGCAGGTCTCAAATGAACCTTTCACCGGGACACCAGAGATGTTAACACTCACCCTCCAAGATCCAATTTCAACCAGCGGAGCTGTTACCTAATCCAGCAACCATCACATATGATCAGGTTCCTGCTCCCCTGATGGGTGTCCTGCGCCCTCCCTAGCCCCCGCCCCTCTATGCTCCCTACCCAACAGCTTTTACTGAAACAGGTTTTAAAGGGAAAATTCCCCTGTTTATGCCAGTACATACAGGGTTTTACTAGTCAGATCTGTACACTTCCACTACCAAAAATGAAATCAACTGCGGTGGATTTGCTCTCCACGGAGGGTCACCCGACAAGATATTTAACCCTTTCGGTAATCATTCTTCAATAGAGTTTCCTTCTCACAAATCTAACCCCTCATGGAAGAGACCGGCCAAGACAGGTAAGTGATGTATATAGAAATTGTCACATGCCCTTTAAAAAGCACCCGATGTCATGGTCTACCTTGCTGCCATCACTGGCCCTGGGGTTCTTTGGTGAACCTCCCAAGATAAGGAGGCTGTCAGAGCACTGTCGGAGCTGCTCTCACAACTGGTCTCCCGCTGTTCTTTCTTTATTTTTCTTCACACAAGGAGAAAAACAAACCGAACCCAAAGGCAGTTTCGAGATCCTTGGCAGGAGGGCCACGAGCGGGTTGTTTTGTCCTTGGCTGAGCTGTGACATGGATCTGGAGCAGCTCCAGACAATACCCACTAGAGGGCACTCTTTCTTCACCAAGGACTGGGAGGGTCCGGCTGTTTCCTGTCCCAGGTTATTTCAG